CCTTTCCTTTCCTTTCCTTTCCTTTCCTTTCCTTTCCTTTCCTTTCTTTTCCTTTCCTTTCCTTTCCTTTCCTTTCCTTTCCTTTCCTTTCCTTTCCTTTCCTTTCCTAACAAATACCTTTGCTTTAGAAGCCTTTCCTAAAGTCAAAACATTCTGATTTCCACAGAAAATTTCCAGGCATTTAAGCCTAGACTCCAAGTGTATTTTTTTAATTGAAACCATTTTTTAAATGGTAAAGATTCACTTAAACGCTCACATTTAACACAAATGAAGCTCCGGTCACATCAAATAAAAGAAAATTAAACAAATTCCTGGTTTTATAAGCACTGTCCTGGTGCCTGAGAGCCGGTTTCTATTTTGGAGGGCGCTCGCAGCCCCGCAAAGGGGACGCAAGGCCCCGCGCTGCTCCCGCTGTGCCCAGCGCTCTCCCCGTCTCCCTGCTTTTCCGGGCTTTTCTGGGGAAAAGCGGCCAGAAACATCTGAATGGTTTCCCATGTTTTCCCAGGAAGCTCCCCCCGAGGGCTGCAATCCCTCTGTGGCTTCAGGTGCTGCATTCCATCCTCAGGACGTGCCAGGGATGAGGCCGTGACTAAGCGGCCACCAGCTCCCTGAAGCTGGAGGCAGGGCCGGGCATGGCGCCTGCTCGGAGACACTGGCCAAGGTCCCAGGGAGGTCAAGGTCCTAGGGAGGCCAAGATCCCAGGAAGGCCAAAGTCCCAGGGAGGCCAAGATCCCAGGAAGGCTCAGGTCCCGGGTAGGCCGAGGTCTTGGGGAGGCCGGGCTGCCAGGGCCACCTCCTTCCCCACACGGATTTACCATCGTGGCCCAAACGGGCCGCGCGACCCGGCCCTGCCACAGACGCCCAGGGAATGAGTGGAGAGGAGGAAACAGCAGCACCAAGCAGAGGCTCTGCTGCCCAGAGGCCATCGTTCTTTGGGAAGCGGAGGGGAGGGGGACACGCGGGACGCTGCTGTGGTGGCCCCCAGTACAGGTGTCTTGCCCGCACGCCACAGCGGCCAGCCCAAACTCAGGGTCCACAGGGAGCCAGTTAACCCACCCCGCTGGGAAACACCTCGGATTTCAGACAGAAAGAAGACATTGTGAAGGGCTTGTCCGAGGAAATAAAAAGGAAAAGAGACAGTGCAGCTCACAGTGAAAGCCTAGGGTCACAGGGCCACAACATGGGACCAACATCAGCTCCTGCGCCAGGGACCTTCGGACAGGATGGTGCAACGGTCATGGAAAGGTGGCAGCCAACCCAACAGGTTGGTAACCTGGTCCAGTGAAGGCCTAGCAGCACTACAACCAGTTTCACGTGTTTCTCTACACTGGTGGTGCAAATGGAAGCTGCTCTAGCATGGAAAAGACACAGATTTATCTTCACCACTTGCTGCCCCCCAAATCTGCCCCCTTCCACACAGCGGAGCAGAAAGATGCTCAACAAGAGCCATTCTGCAGACATGAAGCCCTGGGTGTTGTAATTGCAACCAAAGCAAACGCACTGGGGTGAGTGGTTAAAAGGCAGTAACTAGGCTGGGACTTACTTGTTGTTCAAGGCTCCCCCCAGGTCGCAGTCGCACGGCCGACATCCATCCATGTCGTTGCTCAGCCCCCAGTGCTCGGGCTGTGGGGCAAACACCGCTCACGCTGTCAGGGGTGCTGGCTTAACCCCTGTCAGGCGCTGGCTTAACCAAGCTGCCCCCGAAGCCCATCCTCCCGTCCAAACACCCTGCACGAGGCACCGCACGAGCCCTGAACCCAGCTCCCCTCACAAGCACAACCCAGAGCCCTCATTGCCAGCCCAGGGGCTCCAGAACACCCTGCCGCTGGGCAAACACCAACACCCTCTCACCCCGATGCTGCAGTGCATGAGAAAGCCCCAAAAACCCACTTTTCTACACAGAAGAAAATAAAAGCAAATAAATAAATAAGACTCCAGCTCCCTGCCTGGGACCTGGCTCGTGGCCCGCAACAAGCTCTGGAGATTGCAGCTGTGCTTTCCGCACGCTGCTCTCCCCAACACCAGCGTTTTCTCATTTATTCTGACCGTAAGCTGCTTACCAGGCACTGGCTGCACTGCTTTCCTGTCACCAGACGTTTACAATAGCAGTTTCCTGTCTCCGAATCGCAAGGATTCCCGCCGGGATGGGTCCCCAGGGGATTGCACGCACAGGCTAGAATTGGGAAATACAAATAGGTAAGCTAAAACACAGAGTTTAGCTACATTTTAGGCAGTGTCCAATTTAAATATTTACTGTGAAGCTTCCTTTAACTACCCCGGAAAGAGATTTATGGCACACTTTTCCCACCACCCATCTCAGCAAAACTTCCCTGCCCTAAAGTCCTATAATTAAAAACATGAGAGGAGGATTCTGCTGTTTCCACTGATCATACGAGAAGGATCAGCCGGGGAACTGAACTGTGCTGGGGTCAGCCTCCAAACTACAACCAATCTGCAAGAACTCTTTCCCTTTAAGAAAAACAAGAAATCCAACAAACAAACAGAAACCCCCGCCCGCCCTGCAAACCAAACTCCCAACCAACTCCTCGGAGAGCTTGGGATCGCAGGGAGAGGGCCATATGTTTCTACTCACACTGACAACCCGCTGGGTCATCGGCACTGAGGCCGTAAAACCCCTCCTTGCAGAGGTCGCAGCGCTCGCCCTCGACGAACGCCTTGCAGCGACACTGCCCAGCGATGAGGCCCGTGGAGAAATCCGTGTAGCCGTCGCATATCCCGCCGTTCTGGGAGCCAGCTGGGTCACAGTTGCAAGCTATGAGGGAAGCATTGGACATATCAGCCGAGGAAGGAAAGGAAAGAAAAAAGCCATTTCTCACAGTGATTTGCTTTAACTTTAACTCATTTGCTGTGCAGGAGGTGGTGCCTCGTTGTTGCAAGCATTAAGTGGTTTGTTGGGTAACACTCCAACAAATTTCCAGGTTCTCGAAGAGAAACAACAGCCAAGCCAGGCTCAAGATCTCCAAGATGCCACTCGCCAACCCCGGCTGCAGGAACCTGCAGCAAGGGCTCCTCGCAGCCCTCCCAGGCCCTCCGAACGCTCCGAGCTGCCGGATGCCCCACGGGCAGCGGGGACACTCACGCTCGCAGACGTCGGGGTCGCGCAGGTCCCTCTCGGGGTGCTGGAAGTAAAAGGGCTTGCAGTGCTCGCAGTTGCGCCCCACGGTGTTGTGCTGGCAGTCGTCGCACACGCCGCCGCTGCTGTTGCCCGTGGCCATGAACACGGCCATGTCGAAGTGGCACTGGCTGGAGTGCCCGTTGCAGTTGCACTCTACGACACAAGGCAAGAAAGCAAAGTCTAAAGCCTAAAGAAGAGACACGTACAAGCCAACTGCAGAACCTCGCACGAGGCCACAAATGCCACAAGTGCCTCGGGGCAAAATGTGCAACTCTACGAGCAAAAGGCAGCCCCAGACCTCAGATGTGCATCTTGCTTCAACTCACTTTTGCACGCGTTGCTGTTGCGGCCTTCGGCGGGTCGCCAGGGGAGGTCGTGGTAGAAATCCAAGCACTGCTCGCAGTTTAACCCCTTGGTGTTGTGTCTGCACATGCAGTGCCCGTGGACCTACCGTCACAATGGAAAACTTAAGAGTAAAGTATTTGGTACCTGTATTAAAACAGGTAGAGTAATATATTTGGGTATTAAAACAGGAAGGGAAACAAACATGTTCCTCCCGTTTGTTTAAAACACAGCTGGTATATAAAGGGTATACTGTTTGCATATGCTGAATATATGCTTTGTGGATATACTTTTGCTTATACTTTAATGCATGGGGTTGCACGTAAGAGGACATAAAGGACCACACCGTGTCCTTTACTTGCCTAGATGTAGCCACATAAAACTGTCCTCTTTTTTGTGTTGAAACCAATGCATGAACAAGCGCCCTGAAGCATGAACAAGGAGAGTCCTGTTCCAATCACAAAAGCCTCTTGGAGCTAATAATTAGCTGTGGATTAGCTATTAATTAGTTATTAACATGTATCTAGTTACAGCAGTCTGCCACTTCCAGTCCAGTGCTGTAGCTGGAGCAGTGACTTGGTTCTTATTTATGCCTTCAGCTATGCAAACTCATAGATGCACGTGCAGGTCTTGCTTGACTTATGAAGGTGCTTCAGCTTTTGCTGCCCTTATTTCTGCCCTTTTTTAAGGTCATTCTAGGGCGATTTAATCTAGGTGCCTTTAATCTCACCAGTTCTTTAGCATAATTAGAAAAGGAAATTCACGATGCTAAAACAACCTTCAACTTTTCTGAGCTCCCTGTGCTTGATTAACACCAATAATGACAGAGATATTCACTGATGAAGACAACAGTTTCCCTGCTTGGTAATTAAGGTCGGGGGAGAAGCCAGTCCCTGTCATCTTCCTGCTTTAATGTGGCATATTAATAATGTGGGAAAAGTGGAGTATTTACCATGCCTTCCACCTCCTCACTGAAGCCATCCACTGGGGCACACTCGCTGGCATGTCCGTAGCAGAAGCAGTTCCCACGAACCACCATGTCGTAAATGGCATAGTAGTATTTCTCCCTGATCTCCAGCCTGGAATCCAAGAGATTATCTCCCAGGGTGTGCAGCTTGATGAATTTGACTCTCAGATTTGTTATCTTCAGGAGGTCTGCAAGGAACACCAAGGAAATCTGTGATGTTGAGTTATTTACCAGATAACGCACTGAACAGGAGGAAGCTGAGAGAGCTGCATCCGGGACAACGTGCAACTTCCCTGACCATGTGAGTACATCCTCCCAGCTGGAATTTCTGTCCTCCTATACTGGGAATCACTGAAATCACATCACTTCATATTCCCAAATTCCAGAATTACACTTATTTACTACAGGTGAATCACTTATGTAAGTTACTTTAGACCTGATTTTAAGGAATTGCTGCATGGAGACCAGGTGATTTAAAAATTACGAGTCTTTTAGTCTTTTGGGGAAAAAAAAATGTATTTTTCTTGGAGTAGCACTCCCAGTCAATGAAAGCAGAGAATCATCATTTCTCCTTTACACTTTGGCTAAGAAATATGCAACTGATATAGTCACTAGCAGATACTCTTCTACTTCAGCTATTTTCCTCTGCTCCAGTTAAGCTGACACCGAAGGACACTAACTGAAACGAAGAATGAAAATGAAATTTGAGGTCAAGATTAAGGCCAAACTCTGCAGTTCCCTACTCAGGCCAAACATATGACAGTTTTCTTTAGCTGCACTACAGCAATGTAGGTCTCTATGCCTTGACTGTAACGACTGTAAAAGATTTTGTTTTACAGTCAGCGTGGACTCGCTGGTAATAGCAACAGCAACCACTTAAAAGTCATGACTTAGATGTTCTAAATAACAAAACATAAACACTTGGATCTTGGCTAGAAATGTGAAATGATATAAATATATTTGTAGTTCTATTTTCCAAACACTGCACAAAAAACTAGGTCAAATCATTGATCACAATAACTACCTGATCAATGAAGAAAAAGACCAAACACAATGATATGCCTATGAACAATCAACAGAGTTGAAAACACTGTTCCTTACTTTCCCAGGAGACATTATCAGGAAGAAAAAACACACCACAAATGTACTAAACTGATTTCAAAATTATTTTACGGGTTAATGTATGACTTTATGGCTTATTAGCTTTTTAACATTAAGTAAGTAAATACAGAATTGCTTTTAAAAGAGAGTGGAAGGAAACCACATACATACTTTGAATCCTGGGACTGTAGGGATCTTCAATTCTAAAAGCAGGATCTAAAACACGATATATCACCTGGAGGAAAAATAGTACAATGAAAGACACACCTTTAAAGATAAGAGAATCTAAATAAGAGAATCTGGATTTGTGTAGAGGAAAGTCTATATGAAAAATAAATTAAAAAGGAAACACTCTAACCTCTCCCTCAGTTGAAGGCTCAATGTCAGAGTACCGCGAATCACAAATGATATCATCCACTTTCTTCATGGGTCCAGTTGAAATCCCAGGAAAGGAGCTCTCACAGTCATATGCAAAATACCTATATATTTGCCACGTTTTCCCAAAATCAGATGACCTTTCTATCAGCATTGCAGCAGGACGGAATGTCTAACAGTAAGAAAACAGGAAGAGATTGCAGCCTACTCAGTAGCACCAGCATTTACACTCAGCACCTATAAGCACGAGCAATTCACACGTCTGGATTTTCATCCTTTACTATTGATATTCTACCTTCTGCTCAGGGGCAGGACCACCACCACCTTTGAAATAACCCACCACCCAGTCTATCTTCAAAAACATGGCAAAAACATGGCATTAACAAGCTGTTGAATGAACAAGCTGCTAAATATACATATAACCAACAAGCAAATGTCTACATTTCTCAGATTCCAGATCCCTTTCCAAAATTGTAGGTTCAAGTAGGGCATTAAGGAGACAAAATGATGCTTTCTACTGTTTGCAGAATGAAATGCAGGCTCTTGGGTTGCCTCAACTCCTCATTTTATCTCCTGCATTCGGAGCTGCTGGAGACCTGATGCTCTCCAGTTGCATAGGGAGGCCTGGGCACAGCCTGGGACCCATGTTCAGGGTTTGCTGCTTTTCTTGGAAATTCTTGCTGGGCAAGTTCTCTGGGGTGCACAGAAGAGGCTCAGTGTCCTCCTCTCTCTCTCCATCTGTCCACATCACCTCTCACCTAAGAGCCATCCTCTCTGTGTCCTCTCCTTCCTCTTGAAGGACACCCAGATGTTCACCTCATCCGTCCCTACCGCATTTGGCTCCTACTTGACCTGGCTTCAACCAGATTCTGGCAGGCTCCACTTGCTTTAAACAAACCTCCTTCCTCCTTAGCCACATGTATTCAACTCGAGAAAAACTAGGTACTGAGATTTTTTATTTTTAATTATTCCCTCCCCTTTAACTTAAAAATCCTGTGACGATCTTAAGGTTTCAAATTATGAACTGCATTTCAAAACACAAATATCAATTTAACACCCATCTTGCACCACCTGGGTAATGCCAGCACCAGCTCCTTCATCAATTTTGCGGTTTTGGACCGGACCCTAAAAAAGCTGAGGACAAAAACATCTCCGTCACGGTTGGAAAGAAAGCTTTTTTTCGTGCTTTCTGGCTGAAAATATCTACAAATATCTTACAAAGAAAAAACTCGTAGCAACTCCGAGGTGAGGCAGCTCACGCTAAATCTCCAAGTGAATTCAACAAATCACCACTAAAACTGTCCTGCCCCCACAGGCTTCCCAGGGGTGCCCCACAGACGTGACCCTGGCACGGACCGAATCCCTCCCACGTTCTCCTCCTCGGCCAACCGTGTCCTCCCTGCCCCAAGCTCATCCTGGCGCCGCTTCAGACGGTCACGTTCCCACCCACGTTGGGTCTGGAAATCCTCACACGGGCAGGAACCGTCGCGAGCAACATCAGCACCTTCCACGGCAGGTTTCCCGTGGGAATCTTGGGGGTCTCCATGTCTGCTGCTGGGGTGGCAAGAGAGGACGTTGTCCCCGCGTCGTCACCACCGCGCGCTGCTGCAGCTGAGCTGGGCAGGAGCAAACACCAGGGAAGCCACAGCAGGAATCCAGCAGCTCTGCTCCCAAGCCACCAAGCAGGACCAATCCTTGCCCAAAGGGGCCTGAAACCCAAAGTTCAGCCCCTGCAGCCTCAGCTCAAGGCTGCCACGAGCACTTGCCGTGATCCAGGACACACAGGGGATAATCCGCCCTCCCAAGAACATCTGTTTAAACAAAGCCACTCTGTGTACAGATGTTCCTTCTTCCTGAAGGCCTTCCTGCTTGCCAAAACAAAACTGATACCGAGGCAAATTTCTTTGAAGGAAAAATCCTCGCTAACATGATTTTGCTAATGACCTGCAACACAAGCACTACAGAGAGAAACAAACTGTAAAATCCACCTTTGGTGCAGCTCCTTCTGCAGCTTCTCACACCGGGAAGCTTAAACACGAGTCACAACTCATCCTTCCTATGCGGCTTCCACTTGTTAACTTCAGCTTTGACTTTTTAACGCTTGGCAGCTCTAAAACATCAGGCAAAATAGCTCAAACAAAGCCCAAATTCCAAACATGGAATGGATGGGAATAATGGAAGGGAGCCCTCAACTCCCGGTGTTTCAGGAGATTTGAGTTTTTCCAAAGGCGGCATCTTCTGTGCACCCAGAGCACGTAACAGAAATGGGAACCCTCAGCTCCCCGCACCTCTTGCACAAGCCAAGAGCATTTTAAGATGAATCCTTTAAAGTCTGTTTCCTCCCACGGGGGCTTTTGCAGTATCTTTTCTTACCCATCCTCGTTAGTCCCTGGAAGGAGGGAAAGGATGAGGTGGGTCATCTACGGGGGACACCAGGAGCTAGGGCTGCCCTCGGGGCCTGGGGCCTCCTTACCTTGAACGTCATGATGAGATGGGTGAAATGAAATTCGGCCTCCAGGTTCAGCTGGATAGTCACGTTCTCCAGACCTGCAGGGGCAGCGAGAAGGAAGCAGGGATGGCCATGAGCCGCCTCACCAAACCCTGCCCAGAAGCTCTTGTTGTTGCTGACAGACCCTTCTCTTGGCCATTGGGCTCTGCCACTTATATGGTTCATAGAATCATAGAACCCTTAAGGTTGGAAGGGACCTCCAGAGATCATCTAGTCCGACCTGCACACGCAGGGTCACCCAGAGCACGGGGCACAGGGCGGCATCCAAGCAGSTTTGGAAGATCTCCAGAGAAGGAGACTCCACATTCTCCTTGGGCAGCCTGTGCCAKGGCTCTGTCACCCTCACTRTTAGGAWTTTTTTCCTTAAGTTCCTGGGGAACTTTTGGTGCTTCAGTTTGYGGCYGTTTCCTCTAGTTCTTTCCTCTAGTTCTGGTTAGTGCCAAAAGGGCCCTAAGGAGCTGCCGGGGAGGAGCTGCTCCGAAGGCAGCACCGAGGACCCGCCAAGGCGGCACCGCACATGGGAGCGCCGTGCACCCCATCAGGATCTGCTGGGTTCTCACCCATCACCCCGGYCTTCCTCTGACCGGTGACAAGCGAGAGGTTTCCCAGACCATGAGGTCAAAGGCTCCATGAGGAAAGGAAGAAAAACAGTTAGAAATGTTATTTTGTCACATGGAAAGACCTCTCAAAACAGCTGGTTATTCATTACATTGTGGTTAGAGATATATTAAAAAAATCTAGTAATATTTACAGAGGGGAGAAAGTAAGAATAAACCAATAAAAGGCTTAGATTTTCAAACAGATATAACTTGCCCTGGACTAGGCAGCAATGATCTCTTCTGCTGCATGCCCAAGCGACAGAAACATAAATTGCACAGAAAGAATCACTTGTTTTTTATCGTTGAAGGACATTTTCATGACCTTATGAGCTAAGAACTTCTCTGTGCAAGCGCTGCCAAGGCTATTGCAAAAAACATGAATTATCTGGAACCACAGGAGACAAGCGCCTTGCGAGCTCAATGTAAGTGTCTAAAAGGGATTGAGCAAAAAACTTTCTTTACCAGGCAACAGGAACGTGTGAACATTACCCTGTCATTGCCATATGGCAGGACAGCTCCTGCCAAACACATCTGCAGAAATCCCAACCTGCAACCATTCCAATCCCAACCATCTGGCTTTAGGTGCTACCTCACGGCTTTTAGGGCAGGATTGCTGTTTGGGAAAATTTAGACTCCTTATTTTCTATATGCTGGCATGCCAGAAACTCAGCACATATGAGTAAAAGGGAAAGAAGAATAAAAGATGAAAAGGGGGTTTTAAAAGTCACCAAAAGGTCGGCCTTTGCCTTGCTCCTCCCAGCGGGATGGCTTCAGCGGCGCTGCTGGGACATACTGGATCCTGGAAGATGCTCCCACTCGCTCGGAAGCGGCGCTGGAGCCAGCGCAAAGCCCTTCTCTTTCGGAAAAGCCCATTTAAAGCCCTGGGATACTCCTCCCAGCGCTCCGGAGAGCCGGGGGGCTCGTTCCCAGCGCAGCGAGCGCTGCAGCATGCGCAGAGCGGCCGCTCCGCCGCGCAGCGCCGCGCACAGCGGGATCCCCCGGCCGGCAGCCCTAATTACCGGGCTCGAGATAAGAGCAGACAGCCCGAAACAAAGGCGGGCAGAGCCGCCCCGGGCCGGGCAGCGGCTCCCGGGCTCCCTGCCTACCGTTTTCCGACTGCCACCAAAGCTTCAGGCGGTTCGGGGCGAACGTGGTCACCACGTTTTCTATGCGGTGACTGTCGGGGTTGAGGGTGTCGTGGAAGGGATCCTCCGAGTCACATATGAAACACTTTTTGTCCTCCTGAAACAACAAGATAATCGGTTTTATCCAAAGGGCAATAGTTGCTTCCTGCAGATAAGGGTATTTTCCATCAATTTCGCATTCCGCTCCTTTTGCCTGCCACAGGCATCAAAGGTATTTTTTCTTTAGATGATGAAGCGTATTTACCTTTTTGAACTAAACGCAAATGGCAAGCCGGAAGGAAAATATGCCAGGAATTCAATAAACCTTATTTTTATGAGAAGTACAATTTCTATCTAGCTTACAGTCTCAGGAAACCTCTTTCAGCAACACACATTCTCCTGCACGCCTCAGAATCAAAGCAAACATTTATGGTAAATCATTGACCTGACTCTGTAGGGCTGCACTCACACGAAACCGAGTCAAAAATCTGTGTGGAATCACATCAGCTTTTAGGAGCTGCCTTGGAAATTAAGTTCTCCCTTAATTTCCAAGCTCCCTTCCACCTCCCTTAATGGGAGAGACCTTGGGGGGTTCAGTGTCCCTCGAAGACTCATCGGTGCTGCGGTAAATGGGTCCTTTCAGCACGGGGTTAACTTTATTCTGCACCCAGGTCTGTGCCTCATGTTTTCCATGCTCCTGACACGGTCCCAAGCGGGAAGGACCCCCCTCGAGCCCCCTCTTTGCAGCCCCGTCCTGCAAAGGGCTCGGCGCGTTCAAACCCACGGCGCCAAGAGGGCACCCGGCTCCGGTCCGAGTGCGGCCCCACGGGTCTCTTCACTGGTACAGAAATAACCAGGGACGCAGCAGCGAGGCACGGAGCTGCTGGCTGCTACATGGGGAACAAGGGCACGTCCGGGCTGCTCCAGCAGTGCTTTTTATTGCGAAACCCCCTCTGTTTTGGCAGTTTGAGACAAGAACATAAAAAAAAACAGGCCCTGGTTATTTTGTTCCGCAGAGATCCTGAGGTCCTGAAAGACGCTCCGGATCGGTGCTGACACACTCAAAACGTCCTCCAAACTCCTCTCCGTGGTAAATCAAGCACGGAGGCAGGAGCGGTGCAGTGAGGACAACACGTGCGTGCTGTGGGGCAGAGATGAGGCAACTTGGGACATGAGTGGACCGAACTCTATGCCTAGTTAAGCAGGGCTCTTGGTTGCAGCAGTTTTCCTTCAAAGTGACAAAACCGGGTCCCTTTGTCCCCACAGGAACTACAACCGGAGATTAAACCTCTGGTTTCACTTTAACAGAGCTCCCTTTGCAGCTGATATGTTATACTTAGCCAGCATCCGACTTGGAGGGCAGCTCCTTTCAGCCTGCGGATTAAAACCCTTGGTGCTTGGCTGGAGGTGCCCGGGGCAGCTCCGCGTGGGGCAGCTCCGCGTGGGGCAGCTCCGCGCGCTCCGTCCCTCCGCGACTCCATGGGACTGAGCAGGTTTCACGCGCGGGCGCGAGCGGAGCGTGGCGCTGCTGCCCGCTCCGGTCAGGAAGCTGTCTAGACGGCGCTGCGGAAAGCGCTAATTGGACCTAGGGCGGCACATTCTTGCTCACCAGCAGCTCCCGCGTGGAGTCCCGACCTCCGACCCACGGCGTGGGGCGCTCACCTTGCTTGGAGGGACCCGCTGCGGCCGCGCCGTGGGCTGGGAGCGCGGCCCCCGGGCAGAGCGAGCTTAAAACTGCCCCTTTTCCCCCTGCCTCCTCCCATCCGTGAGGCGCTCTGGGGAGGCGATGGGTCCCCCATGACACCCCCGTCAGCCCCACTGGCGCCCCACATCCATGCCCTGCGCCCCACACCCGTGCCCTGCCCGCCCCCCTGCTGTGCCCCACAGCAGTGCCGCGCCCCACGCGCACCCCGCAGCCCGTGCCGGCCCCACGGCGGCGCCCCACGGCCGCGCTCACCTGGAGGTGGCTCACGATGCAGTAGGGCTCGGGCTGCCGCAGGCCGCACGTGGAGGACGCGGAGAGGCGCGCGGCGCGGCCGATGAGCAGGTCGCCCGTGGCCGGGTAGCAGCTGCCCTCGGCGCAGCCGTAGCTGAACTCGGGCTCCTGCGCCGCG